GCTATGCTCAGTCTACCAGTTCAAACCAAATGGAAGCAGCAGTGAATGCCCGGGTTCCTAGAAAGGGGTCACATACTGGGAAACTAAATGCAAATAGTGTCCAACAAGCTTCAAGGTTTGAATATGACATTCTTGAAACACAGGCTCTTAACAATCATGCCTTTGAGTGGCTCCTACTGACAGTAAATTTTCTATAGGTTTTATTTCAATTTGATGAAAGTTCCAGGAATGGTCTGCCCCAGTAGTGTGGGCTTATTTCAATGAACTAAAGAAGAAAAAATCAGTACCATGGAAATTCCACCAGGAAGAAGACCACACTGTACTGAAATCTTCAAAAGAGACAAATACGAATGTATTCAGCCTATAACCCATCTGCTCACCATATAGAAGCAGGTGGGCATGTCTGGAATATTTCCACTTCCCAGATGCAGCACAACAAGCCACTAGAAAAATAGATGGTAGATAAATTACGACAGTTGAGGCTTAAGACATGAAGGGCTGTGTGTTTGGGTAAGTGAAAAATGTATTAACTGACTTAAAATCATATGCTCAAATATGTTCTAGGATTCTGAGAAGCATATCAGGCCTTAATAAAGAAAAAAAAAGCTGTGACTTATAAATCTGTAAGCTAATTTTTTTCTTTCATCCAGCTATAAGAAATCAATTTCCTTCATTCCAAAAGTTCATCACAGGTTCCTTATTGGTGACACCTTTCACCAGGCTCTGTTGCTTTCAAGACCTAATCTGACCTGTAGTGATTTTCTTCCGCATTTCTTCATAGGGAATGTGTCCAAAGAAACAAGCCTCATTGGTCTTCAGAAAATCCTCTTGCCTAGAAGTTTCCCTGGATGACACCAGAAGCTGTAGGTAGTTGTTTACACGAGATTGGGGGGAGTGGTGAAAAATTATTAATCAGTTTCCTGAGTAACCTCAAGAGGAGGGAGGATTTCTCAAGCTCTCTGATGAGAAACAGAGACTCTCCTATTTATGGAAATCATTGGGCAGGTAAGATCTTCTCTAACCCCTTCTTCCTTGGGATTTGATGTACCTGGTCTTGCTGGGAGACTTTGGCTGATGAAGTGCCAGGGTAACAGAATAAACTCTAGGATGCAGGAGTCTCAGGAATTAAAAGCAGCCCTTTAGAGCATGGTATTCCCACTCTGAGTGCTCAGGAATAGTTTCTTATCCTAGGATCAGTAGGTGGGGACACTCTTGTTGACTCTATGACCAAGTCACTTTATGTTACAGAACCAGCTCCCACTCTTGGCCTTTTCTTTGTGTGACTCATGTTAGAGACAACAGTGACATCAGAACTCCAGAGAAAAGAGCATTCCTGTTTCCCTGTGAGTATTGTCATTAAATGCTGCAGTTTGGTAATAAAGAAACAACTTTCCCCCAAACATAAGATGTTATGTGACTTGAAGATGCATTTGGCTGCTGCCTTTGTCTTTCACCTGTGTAGGACTTGCAGACTATTGCTTTTGGGTTATGTTGCCTATCCGATGTTTCCAAAATTTAAGATTAGAATTCTGAGTGTCTCCTTGTGTTCCATGCTTTGGCATCACCTTGTCAATCAAATGGAATCAAGATCCTTACATGTTACCAATTCAGAAGTTCTCTCACTGGTGCTTTTGGCCACTAGAAGCAATTGGGCATGTCCATAATATTCTTAATAACTCTTAATGACTCAGTTTCCTTCTTATTGCTCTTTAAATTTCATAGCTTTTACCTTTACCCAACATCAGGGGTTTCTTTAGTCTGGTCATTCAAAAAATTGTAACTTATCTTGACCCAGTAGCAACTTAACTGGGTGATACATCACACCATGTACAGGGTCTATTTGCCAGAAAACTTCTCTACAAAACCCAATGTCCCTTCTGCAAAATGATAGTAAGTTTTGCTCAAAGTAAGACTTCCTCTGGCCAGTGGATTTATAATAATCAATCCTAAGTGCCACATGGAATATTCCTGACAAAGGGTACTTCCCTGTCTATGTAAAGAACAACAGATCAGAGGATCTGATCTTTCCACCTTTCATTTCAGTCTGGGGAATCTTCCTCAGATGTCTCTCAACAGCTCACAGATCCCCTCAGGGCATCTACCAGGGGATTAACTCTGATTTACAGATGAAAAGCTTTGAACCCCTATAGGAAGCCAAGTGACTTGACTCAATAATGCCATCCAACCATTATTTGAGACACTTTTCTATTTTGCAAGATAGTTGATACAAAAAGAATTCCTATAAGTTATCTATTCACTAGGATTATTAAGACACTTCTGCTTTGGAACATGAATGGCTGTGGAACTAAGTCCAGGGAGATAGAATAGGTCAACTGGTGGTTTGAGAAGGCTACTTGGTTCCCACACTGGCAGCAGAGCTGTGCCCACATCAGCAGCATCCACCTGTGGCTAGTGTTGCCCTGCCCAAATGTGTGTACCCAGGTCTCTGCAGGGCACCCTGACAGCCCACATGTGCCACCCCATGTGCACTGCTGGAGTCCAGACATTTTCCTCCCATATTGAGCCCAGGATGAGCCCAATCATCTGAAAGGCATAATAACCCTGTCCATGGTGCTACACAGAAGGGCATGCCTGATTGTTCTGAGCAAGTTGACCCAGGTTAAACATTTCCAGTTCAGCGTTCCTGCTCCTGAAGGAGCTCCAACTTCTCCAGACCTCCAGGGAAGAAAAAGCCAGTAATAGGTAGGAAAAATGCCTCAAGAGGACATTATCAACCCTAAAGAAAGAGACATTCAGTGTGTCTCACAGCTGCTTCAGTCACAGGCTCACTTCAGAACCAAAGGAGTGCAGAACATTCTTTTGCTTTTTATCATACATCTGCATGGAAATAGAGAAGTGGAATGGCATTGGCAAAAATCAACTCCCTTCCTTTATTTGTTCCTTTTTTTTTGGCTCCTCCTTAACTGTGTTGCTTTTCCTGATTCTAACCCTGACACCACCAAGCCCATACTGTGGTATGGGGTGGGAGTCTTGGACAGGCTTCCATGGATGACCTTCCAATCTTGGAGCAACCCCACATACACACGTCCTCCCAGTTTTTGCATATTTATAAAGAAGGTGCACGTCTTTTGACTTGGTGTTCTATAATAGAAATTAAAAATTTATTATCCTGAAAGGCATAAAAAAAGAGATAATCTGATTTTCTTCCTGTGGATATTATAACACATATCAGATTACTTTGAAATAAATTGAGCACATTCTTCTTCTTCTACGCTGTTTTGTCAACTTCAATGTACTCCATGGAATATGTGCGGTTTCACTTGATATCTCACAAAACTGAAATTTTGGCTTTTATTTTAGAAAAGATTTAATTTGTTCAACTGAAAAAAATTTTTCCGCAAGGATTAAAGGAGCACGTTTGTGGACATCTTAATCATATTTAACTTCATAAAGATGGTTCCAGGATGGAGTTGTGGCTCAGTGGTAGAGCGCTTGCCTAGCACGTGTGAAGCACTGGTTCCATTCTCAGCACTGCATATAAATAAATGAATAAAATAAAGGTCCATCAACAACTTAAAAAAGAAAGATGGATCCTAGGTGAATTCATGCTTTTTGACTATGGGCAAGAAAAACGCTGAGTCTCGTATATATGAGAAGACACCATTCTTGCTCACAGTTCTGGTTCCTTGTTGTGTGACCAAACCTCATGCTTTTAGGAACACTATTTATTGCCATAGCACATATACGCTGACCCCAAGTTTGGGGGACATTTTAAAATATAGTATATTTCAAGGAGAATATTTTCAAAACTTCCATATTTTTATTGCTGGGGGAGAGGGAATGGCTATCAGCCCAGAGATTTGAGATTGTTTCATTCCAAGTTTTCAGGATACTATAAATGTTGTGCTTTTATATTGTGCCTGCCCTAAGTCTTTGTCTTTCCTATTTTCCAAACTGGTAAAACATGTAGTATTCAGTGATGAAAGGTGAATGGCAGTTTCTTTTGGAGGTAGCTTACCTGTAGGCTTCTCCTTCATTCGTTGTTATTCAAGTCTGTATGCAGATCTTCACAAAGGGAGGAATATTCAGTGTTTCCCAAAGCCAAACCTCTTACTAAACCCTCTTCCCTACAAAACTTTAGGCTCAGAATCTGAAAAAAAAAAAAAAAATCCCTTTCCTCACTTTTCCTTTTAACTTTCTCACGGACTTCCCACTCTCCTCCCAGCTACTCTTGGGAATCCCTTTACCAGACAGATTTCTAAAAATCTTAAGATTTAGTCGGAAAAAGTAGTAAAAACACACAAAAGGGAAAGTACAGTTGTGATGCTTATCATAACTTCTTAATCAAATGTTTCAGAGAGAGGAAAACTCAAAATACTGGTGAGCATCAAAATTGTTCTTCTGAGAGCTGAGTTAACACATAACGGAGAACACTGTAATTACCTGTTATTAAATTTAATACCCCAAACAGATGGTGTTCCACTTTCCCCTCAATTGGAAAATTATTTCAGAGCCTTACTCCAAACCCCGTTGCTTAACTTCTGTTACACCCACATATGAAATTGGTTTGTTTCCCTTACTTTGGGAATCTAACCATAAAATTGTTTATTCTTTTAATTGATCTTTAAAGAACAAAAACTTATTTATTTGAGGAATTGCTACTACCCTGAGCCCCCAATTACAGGGGAGTGAAAGATTTGCTAAATGAAAGTGGTGCTCCTTGGTGAAAAGGGTAGATTTTTATGGTGATTTACCTAGATTTCTCTGGAAGGAAGCTGATGACCTTCATTCTAAGTCAGTTTCCAGCACATATCTAAGCACACCCTACCAGCCTTCAGTTCCATGGTGTTTCTGAGACTATCCTCCCCTTCCCCAGCCGCCAGAAAGACAGAATCCAGAAGTTTAGGCTTGACTCTAAAACCACAACTCTGGTGATAGTGGTTTTATTCTTCTGAATAATAAATAAAGACAGCTTTTAAGAAATCATCTCTTTTAAATCCTTGTTGAAACTATGCAATTCAGAAATAAGTCCACCATACTTTGACTTTGAAAATATTTTATTTGAATAGTAAATATTTATACAGTTGAAACAGTTCTATTGAAGCTTTCTATAAATAGCTAACAATTAAGAAAATAATGTATGTAGAAAAGAGATTGCATTTAAAAGTAAGAGCTGTCAGTTGTACAAGGGCCTCAGGGGCCCTCCAAGCAGAATAAAGTGGTAGGTTGTCTGTAACTCCCTCAGATAGGTATAAAAGTTAAAACTTTTAGCAGATCCCTTTAGAAAAGAGGCTCTCTTCTAAAATGCACAGTGAAATGTCAAGAGTGGCAGGGGGGAGCACACCCCCAAAAAAGAATCTGCAAATAATATCATAATCTTCATAATATAAATAAATAAAGAATAAATAACAATTACTCATAAATCAACATACACATTTAGAGGGAACTCATAGTCCTACCTCAACAAAGATGATCAAACCAAAAAGTCTCACATGAAATATTGAGGCAGTTACTACAGCGTCTTGTGAAAATTCCCTTCCCTCCCCCCAAAAACAATCCCAAACAGACAACGGTTCAAGGCATTTGTGGCTATACTAAAGAAAACTCTTTTTTAAGCAATTTGATTTGTTCACATACAAAAAGGTAAAGCCAGACTCCAGCAGTTCACAAGCCATAATAAAGCTAATCGTGTGGGAAGTTCAATTTACAGCCTGTGAAATATAAAGGCATTTTATTCCTCAAGATTCACCCAAAACAACCCGTACGCTACATACATAGAGAGCAGAGATTGGTAAGCGAGAGCAAACCGCATTTCTAGACCATGAACACAGAGAATACTAGCAAGAAAAACAGCTTCACCCCCTCCAAGTGGAGGCTTCCAACCACAAGACAAACGTGTACAGATTTTCTCCCTTGTACAGAAAGAGATTGACTCCTGTTGCGCCATGGGGGTAGGGGGTGGGACACAACGCAAAGTCGGGGGTGGGGGTCCAAAAGGAGTCACAACGAGAGGACCGGGGTTACCGTCACGCCACAGCGAGAAGCGAAGACGACACTTTCACCCGGGGGTGAGGGCGCCCCAGTGCAGACACTGGGTCTGAGTGTGCAGGGCGCGCTCTCTTTTGTGGGTCTCCAAGCGAAGGCACAGTCCTGGGGGCCAGGATGGAGGACGCGCTCTAGCAGGCTGGACGCACCGGCACCTGCAGGAGGATCACCTGTCTGTTCTCGGAAGGGTGACACTTGTTGATGTGCCGCGTAAGACCAGGCGAACTGTAGAAGGTGGCCGGGCAGTACTTGCAGGGGAACACCTGGGCGGCGTGCAGCAGGCGCAGGTGGCGCTCCTGGGCGCCTTTGCTGGGGAACGTCTCCCCGCACACTGGGCACAGGTGGCACTCGGCGGACGCACTCAGGCCCAGCACGCCGGCCGCCTCGCCGTCGCCTGCTGCCTCCTGGGGAGCCTTCTCGTCGGGCCCCGGGTACAAGGCCAGAAGGTCCTCAGCCGGGGGCGCTGGCGGCGCGCACTTGGCCTGCAGCGCCTGGTGGTGCGCCAGCAGGTGCTTGCGTAGATAGGCCTGCCGGCGGAACTTCTTGGAACAGTGGTGGCACTCGTAGAGCCCGTCCTCGGAGCCTGATTCGGAAACGCCGCCCGGGCTAGGCGTGTCCCGATCGCTGCCGCCGCCGTTAGCTTCCCGCGCTTCAGCCCTGGTGGTTGCTTCGGGTTCTGGCGCTCGGGTGGTGGCGGGCGCTGGCCGCGGTTTGTGCCAGCGGCGGTGCGAGGCCAGGTTGGCCGGGCAGCTGAAGACCTTGGCGCACTCGGGGCAGCGGTACTCCACGCGCACGATGCGCGAGCACTTGTGTTGCGCCAGGGCGAACGGGTCGGCGTACTCCTCTTTGCAGAGCTGGCAGATGAACTCGCCCAGGGGTCGTGCCGAGCCCCCCGCACGACCCCGCGGCGCCTCCACTGGACCCTCCTTGATCTTGAGCCCCAGCACCGGCGACGTGGTCACCTCGTCCTCGAAGTGCAGCTTGCGAATGGCCTTGGGCTTCTTGGCGCCTGGGGCCTTGGCTGCCTTGGCTGGCGGTTCAGTGGCGA